ATATAATCACATGGTATTATATGTATTTAGAGAAAATTACACGAATGGTCCCTATGGTTTGGGGTAATTTGCGCGTTTGATCCCGACCTTATTTTTTAACTCGGAAGCTCCCTATTGTTTGTTTTTGTTACCCGCTTGGTCCCTACTGTTTGTTTTTGTTACACGCTTGGTCCCTGTGTTACCTAAAAAGACTATTATTTAAATAGAGAAAAATGGTGGGGTATGTAAGGTAAGGTGATTGGTTGGGGTTGGGGGTGTGTTTATTTAAATAAATTAAAAAAATTAAGAGAAAATTAGTATTTTTAGGTAAAACAGGGACCAAGCGCGTAAGAAAAACAAACAGTAGGGACCTTCCGAGTTAAAAAAATAAGTTAGGGACCAAACGCGCAAATTACCCTAAACCATAGGGACCATTCGTGTAATTTACTCATGTATTTAATCAGATATGATTTATGTATACAATATTTATTTTTGCGGTTTCGACTGAATAATTTCTTTTGTGTCATTAATCACATATGATTATATGTATATAATCATATATGATTTGAGGTGGACAAGATGCATATTTTCCTTCTCGATTCAATAGTTGTGCTCGTATACTTAATCACATACGATTATACATATAATCACATGTGATAAAATACATGAGAACAACTATTGAATCGACAAAGCAAAAATGAATTATGTCCACATAAATCATATGTGATTAGATTAATATAATCTCATTTTATTATATGTATTTAATCATATGTGATTAGATTCATATAATCACAAAGAAAAAATGAATTACCTCCACCACCCACCACATACCAAAACCAGCACCTGTCACTATCACCACCACTTGCAACCACCCACCCACCCACCCACCACCACCCATCACCACACACCACCACCACCACCCCGCCTTCACCACCCGTCGCCACCACCCCCACCTACAAATATTTGCTATTGTGTTTTCGATTCATTACGTTTTCTCTGGTATATAATCACATGTGATTATATGTATCGAGTCACATGTGATTATATGTATCGAATCATATATTATTTATATGTTATTAAATACATATAATCACATGTGATTAAATACACGTGAAAAACTAGTGAATTGAGAACGCAAAAATGAATATTGTCCACGTAAATCATATGTGATTAGATAAATATAACTACACGTGATTATATGTATTTAATAAAGTATTATTTACGTGGGCCGTATTTATTTGCGTGTTTTCGATTTAATAATTGGCATCGTGTATTAAATCACACGTGATGATTATATGTATTTAATCACATATGATTTACATGGACAATATTTGTTTTCACGTGTTGATTTAATAGTTGTTCTTGTGTATTAATCACATGTGTGTATTAATCACATGTGATTCTATATATTTAATCACATATGATTCGTATGAAAAATATTTATTGTTGCGTCGATTCAATAATTGTTATAATATATTTAATCACATGTGATTATATGTATTTCATCACATACGATTTATGTGGACAAGATTCATTATTTATTTCTCAATTCAATAGTTATACTCATGTACTTAATCACATGTGATTATATGTATCAAATCGCATATGATTTATATTGATAATATTCATGAGTCAATATTTTTTCTTATGTTTTTAATCATCTGTGATTGTATGTATTAATCACATATGATTAATGTGGAAAAAGAAAAACTATTTAACCAAAAACGCGAAAATTAATCTTGTATACAGAAATCATATGTGACTAAATGTACAAGAACAACTATTGAACAAGAATGTGAAAATGAATATTGTCCAAATAAATCATATCTAATTAGATACATATAATCTCATGTAATTAAGCACACAAGAACAACAACTGAATCGAAAACGCAAAAATGAATATTTTCCACATATATTCTATGTGATTAGATACATATAATCACATGTGATAATATGCATTTAATCACATATGATATATGTGGACAATATTTGTCTTTGTGTTCTCGATTCAATAGTTGTTCTTGTGTATATAATCATATGTGATTATATGTATCTAATCACATATGATTTATACAGACATCATTATTTTTTGTCCGTATAAATCATTTGTTATTAGATACATATAATCACATATGATTATATGTATTTAATCACATATGATTACAGTGGACAAAGAACAATTATTAAATCGAGAATGTGACAATGAATCTCATCCACATAAATCATATATGATTGGATACATATAATCACATGTGATTATATGTATTTTATCAGATACGATTTATGTAGATAATATTTATTTTTGCGGTTTCGAATGAATAATTGGTTTTGTGTATTTAATCACATGTGATTATATGAATATAATCACATATGATTTCAGGTGGACAAGATTCATTTTTTCCTTCTCGATTCAATAGTTTTGTTGATGTACTTAATCACATATGATTATACATATAATCACATCTGATAAAATACATGAGAACAACTATTGAATCGACAAAGCAAAAATGAATTATGTCCACATAAATCATATGTGATTAAATTCATATAATCACATGTGATTATATGTATTTAATCACATATGATTAATTTCGATTAAGATTTAATCTCATATGATTTATGTGGACAATATTCATTTTCGTGTTCTTGATTCAATAGTTGTTCTCATGTATTTAATCACATGTGATTATACATATCTAATCACATATGATTTATGTAAATAAGATTCAGATTCGCGTTCTCAATTCAATAGTTTATATCATGTGTTTAATCATATGTTATTTTTATGTATTTAATCACATATAATTAATATGAACAAAGAAAAACTACTGAATCGAAAACACAAAAAATGAATCTTGTGCATATAAGTCATATGTGATTAGATCATATAATCACATGTGATTTAATACACGAGAACAATTAAAGAATCGATAACGCATAAATGAATCTTGTATGCTTGTCTCACTAGAAAACAAACTACATTCTGTCTTTCCTTGTTCACTCTACCGGATTAGGGTATCCATAAACAATAACATAAAATAAGTAATGTCTACATAACAGAAGAGTTAGTGTAACTCACCTCCTTGAACTTGAAAATTAGATAGCATGAGCAAGATGGATCCTTTCCTTTCCAAAAACCTACACAAAAATTATAACATTATTTAGCTTGGGCTTTGTTGTATTAATTTTATAAAATTTATGTACACATTTCCTTATTTTCTCTTTGATTGTAGTGACCTATTTGGGATATGTTTTCTTACATTTCAACCCATTATTAAAATTTGATAAAACGTTATTGGTAAAGTTCCCACTTTTATCTTTTCATAAATATAAAGATCTCGTTCTAATGATTTTTGGTTTATTTTATATTAAATTTACAAGTTAGTAACTTTTAGTTGTCACTTTCTGGACCACTCAAAACTCTTGGAATAAACTATACCAACCTACAAAGAATTACATCATTCCCTTTATTTGTGGGAAACTATACATCCATATCTAACTATAGGCTTTGGAATTTTGATTTGGAGTTTTGATGAATTTATTAAGATTTTTTGAAGACAACGCATGAAATCTGTGACAGCATTGACCAGCCTGAGAAGATTACCAATTTTACCCCTTAAAGAGTTGGAATTTCAAATTGTGATTCAATGTTTGAAGAAACTAGACACATCAAGATTTCCAGAAAACAAAGTCTCATGATTTTTAGGTGTTCTTATTAAATTTCACAAATTGTAGAAGTTGGAGGACACATTTGGGAAAATTGATCATATATATAAATCACATATGATTTATATGACTCAATATATGCCACTAAATGTAAGATTCTCAATCTAATAATTTATTATACAATTTAGTATGTTCCAATATTATTATGAACATATATTAGAAACTTAAGTATAAAAAAAGAAGAAACTATGATAAGAATTGATATATAAAATACATAGAATCAGACGCCATTACTCTTTTTTAAGATATAAGTGTGTGTATGTGGTTGTGGTTATAAGATCATAATGAATTGCTTTTTTGGCTTGAAAAGAAACTATTTGCCTAAAATAGTAACAAAACTAATAGATGATACTAAATATATAAGTCAAACCATATTGAATGTATCTATATATCAATGTTAATGCATAGAGTCGCAGATTGGTGTCCTAATTGTTACCTGTAGACACTTTCCATCAAGAGAGAGGGAATACCATAGTATCGACATCTATGTAAGCTTCCATTTAAGATACCATATGCAACACTAGCTTGAAATAATCCAGCCAAAGCATTTGGATTGTTTTGCACCACTGAAAGATGATGTCATTGGTTTTGAAACATCCTTGCAGTAATGGATAAAGGTGGATAAAGGCAATTACGCTTGTGAAAGGAACAAAAAAAACTACAGTAATTAAGTGGCATCCGAATCATAACCTCTATATTTAACAAAATCATGCATAATTTGTTAAGAAAAATAACCTCTAATGATTTCTAATATCACCATAAAAGACTGGTGCAGATTTAGACAACATTACGTCCACAATTGATGGCCCTACTACTCCCTATATATGTAAACAATGGTAAATTTTGAGCCTATATTAAAGTCTATGCTAACATACTTCATAAAAACAGTGAGATCTTGATTTGGGATATAAATGATAGATGCAAAATTGTTGTTATTGGAAGACATGTGTAGAAATCTATTCATCCCATTATGGAGAATTAATCATACTAGTCAATGAATTGAGAATAAATACCTAAATAAAACTACTATCAAACAGTAAGATACATAAATTTGTTGAAATTGTTAACATTTTTAGTTAATAGTTAGGGGAAAAGGCGACCCTACAAATAGCATTTCGTATGATGATTTTTCTTATGTTAGAGACAATCAGATACCCGTTTTTCAACGTTAATCAAGCATCACAAAATCTGAAATTGAACACTCAAAGCATCACAGAAGTGAATCATCATTGTCTGGAACTTCTAGCCATGTTCTCCATCCTTCAAGCCTTGGAACAAGCACCCTTGAAGATTTTTCAAGGGATAATCCTGTAAACCACCAAGTTACTGTAAGGAATAAACAAGACGTATTCTTTGTTTTCAATCTCATCATTAATCAGACCATTTAGAACAAATTCACAAATTCTGAAGTTATAACATTTCAATCCAATTGATCGATTCTCAATCCAAAACGACATGCTGACTTAGGAAGGTTGCCTTTAGGCGACGGAGGGCGGTGAATTCCGCCATCAATAAAAGCATTATGGAGTGTGTTTGATTGATTCAAATCAAATTTCAACTGATTTAATATAGGAGTATGCAATGAATTACCCTTAAAACAGCAGGTATATAGAAGGATCATTAGGAGAGTTCACAGTTTGATCATAATATTCAAGAACATCAGCCTGTGTATATGATACATTCACAGATTTCATACACAAGATCAATAAATTTCATGAATATTAGTTTATTAGATGATTACAAGTTTTCATTTTTCAAATCTCTAACATTTTCCATGAACTCTAAACAAATGGCACGTTTCCAGCATACAACATTTATAGGCCTGACACAACAATCACAATCAGATTCAATCACTGTTATAACTATACAGTATTAAGAAGCTAATAAGAATTGTAGCTAACTAATAGTCTAAAACTAGGAAAGAATCCACAGATACATGTTGATGTATGACAACTTAACTAATAAGATTTCAATAGCACCTCATCAGATTAAATTGATAATTGTGTTAAAAAGGAAGATGAGAGCACAGACCTGTACGAGATGTCCAAAACTAAACCTCTGAAACAAGATAGATCATCACTCTCATAATCAGGATCTCCCAACAGTTCATCATAAATAGCTTGCTGATCGACAATCACGTCCTTTTCATTGCCTTTCATGCTCTTCGAATTGCTCCCAGACACCGACGCGAAGACTCTAGTATCTCTGGTGGAACGATTGTAGGTATAATTGTTTAATGTCGTGATCTTCCGTTTGTCTGATAGTCTCAATCCCCTACAACTTCTGCCACCGTATAACGGAGCGCTGATGATATCTTTTGGCTCAAACCATGCCGACATTTCGTCGACGATGAAGATCGGCTTCAGGCGACGGAGGGCGGTGAATTCCGCCATCAATAAAAGCGTCTGGAGTGTGTTTGATCGATTCAAATCAAATTTCAATGAAACAAACAAATTCGAACTCGAAACAGACCAAAATGCAAAGGAATTGAAAATCAAACATGCATTCTTCATGCCTCTGTCGTCTTATCATTTAGGTGACACCGTATCCCGCTCGAGGAGGTAGAGGCGTTTGCTTCGACTCATCATTGATGTGAGAATCGATAGAATTGATAGCATATGGAGGCCGGTTTAACGATTTTTTGATTCAGAGAGAAAGCTACATGAATATGATTTTGAATTCGAGATACAGATTCGCTTATCCTTTAAACATGAATTTCCCAACGATTGGAGATGTGTACCCTAAAGTCAATTCAAATTGTGCCTTGTGTGAGGATTGCACAACAACAAAAAAAAATAGGGGAATATCTTATGTGTTTACAATGAGGTTATTCTCAACGGTTTTTGGTAAACATGTATTATATTTACACAAAAAAATATGAATGTACATATGCATATTTTTTTGAAAATGTATTATATTTACACAAAAAAAAATAGGAATATGCATTAAAAATGCATTTCTTTGAAAAATTCGTTTTTTAAATCTTAATTTCAAATATAAGGTATATTTTCACTTATTTAAAAAAATTATTATTATTTTATTATTTTTTTTAAATCAGTGAAAATATTCCATACATTTCGAAATTAATATTTAAAAAAAGAATTTTTCAAAAAAAAATGCATTTTTAAAGCATATTCATATTTTTTTTGTGTATATGTATATTTTTAAAAAACATGTGCATATGCACATACATATTTAAAAAAAACACTTTTAATGCCTCTATATATATATATATATATATATATATATATATATATATATATATATATATATATATATATATATATATATATAAAGAGTAAGGTAATGTTAAATGATCTAAGTCGACCCACTGCAAGTTCCCTTTTATGTTCAGGAAAAGTAACCATATCCCAAGCCATCCAATTAATCTTTCTTTTGTTCTCAATGCCTACCAAAATAAATTTCTTCTAATACTTTGAAACATATCAATAACCTTTTTACGAGATTTGAAATGAGCAAAATAATAAATGGGAAGACTCCCCAAAACGGACTTAATGAGGGTAAGCCTCCTACCAAAAGTAAGATTACTTTCTCTCCAAACGAACAACATAGACTTGAGCTTCTGCACAATCGAGATTTTGTTTTTTGCAAGTTTCATATTTGCACCGATGGGAAGACTAAGATAAGTGAAAGGAAAGAACACGAGCTCGCAATTTAAAATGCTAGCAAGCCGATTAACTTCTAAATCATCCACACCAAGACCAAAAACTTTGCTCTTAAGAAGGTTCACTTTCAATCGAGAGACAAGATAAAACAATCTAAGAATTCTATTTAAGTTAATGAAATTAACTTCGGACCATTCACCTAAATAGGTAAGATAATTCACATATATGAGATGCGATAAATATGGGTCATTAGGAGGTAAAGCAATACCTTGAAAAATATGGCGATCAAAAGCTTCATTCATAGCCACAGTAAGCCCTTCCATGGAAGTAATGAAAAGGAAAAGGGAGAGAGTATCACCTTGACGCACACCTCTCTTAATATCAAATTTATTAGTATGAGACATGTTAAGCAAAACGCAAGCCCTCCCAGAAACAAGACAACCATTTATCCATTTTCTCGATTTGTCCTCAAAGTCCATTTTAGTCCATAATCGAGTCTAAATACTTCCAAATTAGAGAATCAAATGTCTTGTCAAAATTTATTTTAAAAAAGAATTTGATTTCTTACCTTCTTGCCCTACTAATAAATTTCAATAAACAAAAATCAGACCATCATGGATACTTCTACCCTCCATGTAAGCCGATTGTTCAAGAGTAATCACTTTTCTCAAAACCTTCTTTAATCGTAAAGAAAGCATATTGACAAAATCTTATGCATACACCCGACTAAGTTTACCGACCTATAATCCTTTAATAATAAAGGATCATAGTTTTTACGCATAAGAGACATAAATGAAGCATTACAACCTCTACTAATAACCCCCGAATCCTCAAAGTTCTTTAATAGTTGAATATATCAATTTTAAAAATCTCCTAATATTTCTTCAAAAAACTAAAAGTAATGCCATCCGACCCCATGGCTTTCTCATTACCACAACTCCAAATAACAATTTTTATCTGCTATATAGTAAATGAATCTTCCGAAACCTTTTTATCCTAGCACAAAATCTTTTTAAATCTGTTGCTCACAAGCTTCGTCCTCACCATTTTAGAATCATCAAATTTAGAGGCAAAAATTTCCATACCTCCTCTTTGATTTGATCTAGATCAGTATCCCAACACCTATTAATACATAACCCATTTTTCTTTTCTTATTTTTATTACAAGTAATGATACCATGAAAAACTTGCTATTTTCATCGCCTTCTACCTCCCATATGATTCTCGCTTTTTGTTTGAGATCAAGTCTTCACAAATAGTCAGTTTCATTAATCCTTTGCTTCTACTTCTTTCTCTTGGCACTTTCAGGGGAAGAAAGATTTCGAGAATCTGTATGCAATTCCAATTCATTGATTTTTGCAACTAAATTAGAGAAATCCTTATTTTCCAACAAACACATCCCATACCTCCTACACTTAATATCATTTTTAAGTCATTGGAGCTTTTTCAAGAGCATCAAATCCGGATTCATGCCTTCAAAGTTTTTGACCTAGGATGATATTACAACTTCTTTAAGCCCGTTAATAAGAAGCGATGAATTGAAGAATTTTAAAGGAACGGGCCCATAGTCTACAATCTCGCTAATGAACAAAATAGGGCTATTATCTTAATAAAGCCTCGTTAAAGTAGTGATAATAACTGACTCCCATAAAGAAAGAAACAATTCATTTTCCAAAAACCTATGTATTTTGATTAAACTCTTTCCATAAGGGCTCATCCATGTGAACTTTCTACCTCCTATATTTAAATCAACAAGCTCCAAATCCCGAATGAAAGTATTAAAACCCTTCATGCTAGAATCACAAACAACCGTCGAGAAACGATCCTCCTTGCAACGATCTTCGTTAAAGTCTCCCATGAATAACCAAACATAATCTTTGTTTAACTTTACATGCCTCAAATCATTCCATAATGACAACCGATCATCATCATCATCATTCAAAGAATAAATATTCACGGGGTTGATTCTATCTTGAACACCTTTCCAAACACCCGATGGAAAAATAAAGCAGTTACCTTTAACCACATCATCCACATAAAAAATCAGTAGATTGCACAAACAAAAGAAACCACCTGATTGGCCTCTAAAATAACTGCTTCAAATCTTCAATCATATTTATCCTAAAACTTCCTAACCTCTACCGAATCCACTTTTATTTGAGTCTCCTGAGAGTTGATAACATTAATCTTGTGCACCCGCTTTAAATTTCTTACCCACTCCTTTTTGGATTCATCACAAGCACCCCTCAAATTCAAGGTCAAACAATTCACTGTTTACTATTTAAATCACCTTCTCTAACAATAACCGGCTTCACAACATCTTTAGTACCAACCATTAAAAATCCAATAGAAAATCCCAAATCCACAATCTCATTAACCTCAATTGAAGTCAAGTTCATCGAGGTGGTAGGTCTTGAAATACCAATTTTAAAGACTTTAATATTGCCTACCGTACAATTATTAAGCAAACACTAAGGACTAATATCAATACCATCCGAGATTAGCACCTCTTCTACCCCGTTCGCATGATTCCGTTGATTCAATCCCAAACTTTGACATCTTGACAACACTTCTTTGAACGATTTTCCATAAACCATATTCCTATCATTTTCCGGATTCTGTTCCATCATACCATCCATTCCCTTTTATTCCTTGATTCCACGACTATAATTGTTCTCTTAGTTGCTGTTGGGTCAAAAATATGGTTTATACTTTGCTTTTATAGGAAAATGTAATTTTATGTCTAGGACCGTAAACAGCTCAGTGTTTACGGCCGTAAACAGGTTTACGACCGTAAACCCTGTTTACGGCCTAATGGGGGTTTAAGGCCGTAAACCCATTTACGACCGTAAACCCATTCACGGCCCATGTTCACCAAGCCCATGTTTCTTATGTATAAATATAGGTGTAAGGGGTGAGGAGTAGATTGATGAACACATAGAATAGAGGAGCTTAAGTGTGTGCATTTGAAGGTGTTCTAGAGAGAGGGAAAAGAGAGTGTGTGTTAGTGTGTGTGAAACTTGTATCCAGATCTTCATTCATATCAATACATACAAGATTCATCATCTTCTTCTTCTCCTTCTCTTCTATTTGATCTGACATCATCCGTTTGATTGGGATTCCGCACAATCAAACGGATCTGATTGATACACAAGCATATTTAGGGACTTAAAATTGGTATCAGAGCTTGGATTGTATCACCCATCTTTGTCAGATCTGGAGCCGATTTGATCTTATTTTGGAAAGATTCTTGCGTTTTTGGATAGATATCTGAAAATTAGGGGTGGGGGGGGGGTTTGTTCTTCGCGTTTTTCATAAAAACGAGTTTTTGATCCAGTTTTGGAGCAAAAATGGTGAAAAACGTCGTTTTTTTCGCGATCTGAAGTTGTGTTTACGGTCTTTGAAGGGTTTACGGCCGTAAACGTGTTTACGGTCGCCAGAGTTTGCGGCCTCGGCTCGGAATTCGGCTCGGTGAACGGCTTGAAAGATAGCTCGGTGAGCAGCATCCTCGCACCAGGTCTTCACCTCGCACAGCAGCTTCGCACACGTGCCCCGTCCTCACAAGCAGCAGCCTCGCATCAGCGCTTCAATAAAAAGGGAAACGGATTTGGGGGTTGTTGGGGATCGAACCCGGGACCTCTGGTTGATCAAACCCACGTCTTACCAACTCCTCTAAGCTACTCCTTGGTTCATCATTTCCAATTTTAATTCAAATACATTGCCATTCGCACCTACTTTCGCATTTTTGTCAAATTCAGCCCAAAATTGATTTTCTTTTAATTTTAAATTCCTTTTTCAACCAAAAAATTTTAGTTTTTACATTTTGAATTTTATTTTTGATTTTTTACTTAAAATATAGACTTTGACTTTTAAAGTTTGACCTTTGACTATAAACTTTGACTTTCTCGT